AATTTTTTTGAACCTATTTTGCAGCTAAAACTGGAAATACAATGTACAAGCAGTTAAGCTATCTAGTTAAATTAATATCTAGATCATAATGCTACCAACTCCTTTCATAATGACATGTAACTTTGTTGCAACTTTATTATTATTAAATACATATATTAATTACCCTGATTGACCTCCACTAAAACAGTGTGTACTAGAGTGTAGATAATGATATCATAAATAATGTCACTGAAATAATGCAAAATCGAATTTATCAATACATAAATGACCTCTCATATCGAATAGACATTGGAATGTTTGTTTCCTTTGCACCAAGTTATATATCTGTGCGTATGTGACATTGACATTGGAACCGTTCCTTATCGCTTTTAACGACTTCATTCACACTGCACTTATTACTAGCAGTATACTCTCATATTACAGAACGTGCTTCTAAGTAAATTTGTAAATTTATAGCAACTTAACAAGATAAAAATGTTTCTACAAATTGAGAATCATAGAATATATGACATTAAGTCATTCATTGATTGGATCATAAAATGAGTTAACAGTAGTCTAAGTCGCTAATTAACTAATTAGACATCTATATAAATTTAATGCTATCCACCATCTAAATCGAGATCGTAAATTATAAATTACTGGCAATACCCCCTTTATGGGGGAGGTCTATGTTCAGCAGTGGACAGTTAACGGCTGGCATGATGATGATTATCTAAATCCTATTAGTCCTAGTCCTAGTTGCTACGTGAAAATGAAATGATCATGATTAAAATACCAAATTGTGTTACCAACTTTTGGCACAATAGCGATTTCGATTAGAGAGGAGTACATACTAGAATTTCTGCATAAAGGGTACCTACCTATATATAGAGTACATACTCGTAATAAGAACGCGATAAAAAATGTTTAGTAAACCTAAGTGACATTATTTGCATTCTCAGCCTTACAATTTTAAGACGGATATTAAGTGTCGAAGCGCACGGTACGTGGGGGGGCCTTCGATAGTACAAATTATCAGTTGGCAAAATAGAATAGAGAAATAGATATAACATACCTATAATCTTATTTCCAGATGGGTCAGTCATATGGTTACAATTTATCTACTATTCCAGTTTAATTAAAGGCAACGATATTCAAATATCTATCTATTACCAGACCCTCTAAATAAGTGGCAAGCGAATTCATCGATGGAATCGACATCGCTAGCGAGTCTGTGAAATAGAATGAGATAGCAACGCCTAATGTCTCATTCCAACTCACGAAATCGCTAGCGATGTCGATTCCATTGACAAATTCACTTGCCACTTGTCTAGAGGGCCTGAATACATTTCTTCGTGTGTATATGAATCTATCTTTACAGTAATAACAGGCGTGTACAACATGAATATAGAATAAATGTAAATATGTAGTTGCGACATAAATATCGTACACATAATTTTATTGTTGAAATAACCTTGTTGGATTACATTGCTTCGGAGGTAAGTCTTCATAATCTTTGTGTGAAAAGATAATAAACATTCATCCAAACATCCTCACAAACTCTTGCATTTATAATAGCAGTAGAATACTTGCATTATCTATGTCTATGCAGGCATCTCTCGGACTAATTTATTACTCAGTGTCACCACCAGAAGCTGAACATAAAAAAGACACACACATTAGTAGTGTGATTGTATTCGAAGGGTCGGTGGTCGGGAGCTCACAACTAAAACCTCAAATGTATCGTAGCGGCTCAATGGTTGAAACCATTCATATTTATTATCTAACATCGGTGTTGATTTTAAAGTCGTCAGTCAAAATGTCAACGAATCGTTTTTTATAATACTTTGCATATTTATCTATAATGGATACCAAATCATGGTATCTCGAAAAAAAGGATAGACTGTGTGGAAGATGATTAATTTGTTTTGATGTTTTTTACCGAATAAATTGTACTGAATTTAAAAAATACTAGCGATGCGACCCGTCTTTGCATGGATAGATAGAAATTTCGAAAACATAGCGATTGACACTAGTAATGTTTCTTTCTATAGGTGAAAGAATTTTTAAAAACCAGTTAAGTAGTTTTATTTTATCCATTACAAACAAACAATAAAATCTTTCCTCTTTGTAATATTAGAATAGATAATTAAAACTTGGCGCAACATAGAGAAGTACGAGTATATTTGGCTACATTTTTTATTTCTTTGTTAACAAGTCTTTTAATAATACGTGACTTTGAATACGATTACAATCTAATGACTCTTCAATTTCAACGATATTTGAACGATTCGTGTTTCTGAGAATTTAGCTACGAATTTTCGATTAAAACACTAATAGTACCTTTGAGTCAAACCACTTGTAACAATCATGATGAAAACAACACGGCATTAAGACAAATCAATTTACACATGACTTTAAAATCACATAAGTCAATCCTATTATTTTTGCCTCGCAATTTAATTTTATAAACATATTAAATTTAGAGAGCAATTTTATTATCAGTCAGTCATTATTGACTTACGATGAATAATTTTTATATACAGCTAGCTACTGCATAATATGAAATCTTGGTATGTTATTCGGCTCGACACAGATAACGTGGGACCACAGTTTCTTTTGTATCAACAAGAAGGACAAACGACAAGGAGTAAACAATTTAATATTAAAATGTTTTGAATGTAATATTTATTGATAATTAAGGTCGAGTCTCGTGTAATATAGATAAGTTCAGTAATTTCTACATAATCATAAAAAAAGTGTGAGTTTATGCAAAATTTATGCTTATAATTATACGAAACCTGTCATATATACTAAAAGAAATTAATAATACATGTTCATCTATACTAATATTATAAAGAAGAAAAATTTTATTACTTGTTTGTAATGAATTAACTGAAAAACTCAAACGATTTCAAATATCTTTCATCTACAGAAAGTTTCATTATAAACGAGTAACATAGGCTCTATACTATTTTCAAAAATTCCATCTACCCGTGCGAAGTCAGGCCAGAACGCTAGTCTGTAATAAGACTCTACATTACGGTGACAATATGAACCCAACATCACATCAGCTAGTATCTGTTTACTGTTGGACACAGACCATCCCCAATTCCTTTCTCCATGCGCGATCTTCCGCAATGCAAACCGGGGGCCATGTATTCGTTCCGTAAGTCACAACGCTAACTGGAAGCCAGTTGAAGGAGCCAAGCTCATCAATTTGCCACTCAACATCTTTAGATTGTATATAATATAAACCTAGTCAAAATTACTATTGTGAAGTTTTTATTGTTATTTGTATGTAAAAAGACCGTTAGATTTATATTTGTGAAATAATTGCGCAGTTACTTGTACAGACGGAAAAGAATTGTTCCTAATGAGGCCGACTGCCCACATTCCTAGCAACATACTCTATCAGGTCGACCACGCGGTTTCCCCTGGAAACCATCGTGGTTAATTATTGTTGAATTTGTCACGATAAACCAATTGACCTTTATCATCATTTTCACCTATCATCCCTTACTGATACCCTGTTAGTGTATACCGATAGCGCCAGCGGGGTCACTGTTCATTACCACCCATTACAAGGCACTTATATGTTACCAATTTTATAATATTGGATTTATTATAATTTAGAATCATCACGCACACAATAAAATAACAATAACAACACAACAATAAATAATATCCTCTTTATAAAAGGAAAGCGGCAAGAAAAACTGTAAAGAAAACTAGTAATCAATCTATATAAACATGTCGGGCAATAGGGATTGGCCCGTATGAAAACAATCGTTACTACAAACAAGCCGTTAACGTCATTCCGTGATAACCATGATGTTATGACAACCGTATCGTATAACGCACTCGCGGAACGTCATACGTTATCTGAGCTACTAAATATATAGAACGATCTGTTAAATAAGTAATAGTTAATATTAAGTATATTCCGTAAGACGTCAAAAGTCGTTTTCATATGTATATTGATCAAAAATTTTAAAACTACTCTGTAAACAATATTCTGTAGCAAAAACGACAAAATATTTGTGACATTAAAAGGATTTTATAATAACAAAGTAAATTGATATTACGCATCTATTCCATTCGGCACTCACATTGATTGTATTATGTGGACCATTTTAGTTTGTCTATATCACTCTGTATAGATATTGTTATTCCAGAACTGCTGGAATTTTCCACTTAAATGCCAGGGATACGATGGATAACTAAGCAAAATACAACGCAGTCTATGTGCCATGTTGTGGTAATAAAGTTGGCAATATCCCAAGATTACCGTGCGGCGCGGCGGCAGTATTTCGTGTTCCTAATAATCGGATCAGAAACAATATTTTAAAATTAAACAGCATAAAAAATGAAAGAGGTATAAACATTTGCACTTTTTCACAAATTGTAGTGACCTAAAACTACACAAATATAATAAACGATGAATAAATGTTTTGGTGTGAGATTTTAATTTGGATGCGCAATAGAGTACCTATTACATTCATATCTGTTTAATACGTACTTTAACTGTAAGGTCTGGTTATTTAAAAGCTAATCTTTTTTAAACTGGTTAGGGTCTGCGTGTTGTTGTTTGTATTATCAGATATTAATATTGTCAATTTTTCATAACAGAAAATAACTTTAGTCCACGAGCAAGTGATTTGATTGGTGAGGTTATGTGGCAGTTTTTATTGTCATTTACTTTTTACTTGTTAACTTACTACAACTATTTACTTATTTAATAATTTATTAGTAGGTAAATTTACAATTTTAGAAAAAAAGTTATCACTTTTGTCATGTTAATTTACAGCGGAGTTCTAAAGAATTTTAAAGTAATTCAACTATCAAATTGTTTAATATCTCTTTAGATCGCTATTCACATTTATATAAACGTGTAGTCAACAAAATTATTCGGCATGGGTATTCACACTGAGTAAAATTAAATATTGTTAATGCCTGTACAATCCCTTTTTGGATTAATTAATTTAAAAACTCTAATTGACTCATAGCACTAAACTCACCTGAAAAATCGATGTTTACGCTATTTTGTAGTCTTGCGTTCCTAAAACTCCATATTCCACTTGATAAAAATGAAAACCAGGGTACGCCTATCTCCATTTCTGAAACAAAAAATAAATAAACTTACCTATTTGTCTAATATGCGCACGCATAAAACGTTAGATATAAAACTCTAATTAAGAAATTATATTTCCGCTAACAAATCTAAAACTGTTCAAGATTATAAACATGACATAAATAAAAGGTACAACAAAACTTAAAAAATATCACGTCCCGTGCATATGATTATTCAAAAATCTTACAAGTTGTTAATTTGCTCAATAAATTTAAGTAATATCTATTTCTCACAAATAAATTCAGATTTTACCGTTAGAAAATACTCATCACGCATATAATATGCAAATTCTATAAGCATTTCTCAGTGCCGTCAAACTTGCGGCTTACGTGCCCACCCAATAATTTCACATTTCCAATTGCAGAATAAATAGGTATTATACAATTCAAATTTCAATCGAAAAAATTCTAAATTATCTTACATCTGAAATTATAATTCGTTTGAAAAAACAATGCTAAAAAAGCAAAACTTCAGAATTTGTTCTCCTTGAATGATGGTTGGATCGTCGACGTTCCACCCTATATTTTACAAGCGCTCCCCATCCAAACAGCCGTAAGCAATCCCGCTGTGATTACAATATAGATGCCAGAATATGATAATATTTTAACCACTTAAAATAACACAGGAACAGAACTCAAGCGTAATTCCACTGTAAAACTTTATTTTAGACATTTGTCATATAACGGAATTTTTAATTTTTACCTCAATATCGACATGCACAAAAGCAGAACGCGTTGCACAACTTAACTGAAGTTTTTGTGACTCAGGGAGACTTGTTAAATACCAGCGGTCGACTACCTGCGCATTGGTTACGAATAGACGCTTCGCCCCAACATTCTCGCAGTCCCAAATCCTTTCAGTTAAGGGGCTTTAATGTATTGAGCCCTAATGTTTATAGCGCTGTTTTAATATTGCGTTACGTGCCGATATTTTTAAACATACTAAGGATATTTTAAAACAAATTTAATCTTTCACCTTTAAATTACGGAACAAAAGAATATTTAAAGGTAACTTTGTTCTGTAATTTGAGCTTTCACCAATAGTTTTGACTAAGCATCGAGAGTATTTAATTCACAATTAATGAAGCGGACATTTGAAACGACACATTCGCCACAATTAACAAAATTAGTTCATTAGTCGTAGTAGGTATATTACATGAGACTGACTACGCATCAATTAGGTAGTATGATTCATAAAAACTAATATAATGTCTTATACATTATTTATGAAATACGTATTTAAAGATTAAATTATATACAATTCTGACAAATCAAAGCTTTCTAATTTAAAGGTCGAAAGAATCGTAAAATAATGTATGATAATTTAAATATCACCTGCTGTCATACATAAGTAACGTTAATACAAAATGCATGCAGCGACGCTCTACTTAGTATAACGGAACGTCGCGTGGCCAGCATTACAGGACCATAACCAGTTTTTAGAGACTTAAAGCCAAATCATCACACTATATTTTCTACCTATTTGCAGATATTCTCTACCATAATAGTTATACGAATCTTTCAACTATGTATGTGTTCTGAACCTGATTTTTAATAGTAGTTTTTATATCTTTACTTAGTAGAACGGGACGTCACATGGCAGGCATTACAGGAATATAACCAGTTTTTAGAGACTTGAAACCAAATCACTGTACTACATTTTCTACCTACTAGCATATATTCTCTACCATAATAAATATACAAATCTTTCAACTCGGTATGTGTTCTAAACCTTAATTTTGATAGTAGTATTTATATCCATTTAGAAAACATACAATTACAACTTATTGTAAATGTCTTAACATTATTTGTGTAATATGACTCTACAAAATTCTATTAAATTACCTACCGCCAACTATGCAACTATGCAACACCAAATATATAATTGTACTGTCGTTCCTAATAAAATACTCCGAAAAAAGACCTCAAACATTAAATGAGTCGTCCTTATCCTAAAAGATTGTAAATTAGACGCCACAATGAACCAACGGACGGTCAGAGCATGCAGTCTTTCATTCAAATTCGATAATACAATTCCTAGTCACGTATCTTAGCACTTCAAGTTACCAAGTGTGGCGGCCTCGAGCCAGGTTCAATAAAAGTTATAATATCCGCTCATATCAATTATATAACGGCCTATCTATATGAACATTAGTAGATATTATTCATGAATTCCCGGTGATGCACTATTTATAATAAATTAATGATTAGATATATTATTATTACGATAATGTGTCAAATCTAGTTTACAGTGAAAATTGTGGGCATTGTTCTGTAGAATTAAAATAGCAGAGCAGAGCGCAGCTTGAAAAGTGAAAATTTAAACGGTACACGTAATAAACGCAACCAGACTAAAAATTAATGCACTATATAAGTACTTACGAGAAAATGGAAAAAAATAACATTCAAAATCAATTGAATGTTGAAATAAGAATTCGACGATAAAATTTTAAGATAATACGCGAGGAAAGTGGCGCAAACAAATCCATGAGATAATAGTAGACAACTGCAAAAAGTGAATAAGTATGTATAAGAGGGAGGGGGCTTTTGTAACCGATCGAGCATGGATTCGAATAATAGCTTTCCAAACGCACTGGGCGACAAACAACAATGTTGCTGCGAGGTGTTGCGCAGTGATGTGCAGACTTTATTACAACGCTGCAAATATTGAACGCCATCACGAGATAACTACATTAGCTTCAGATCTTCATTTGCATTTTAGATTGTTCGTGTGTAACGCACCACAAAAGTAACATTATTTTTTGTCCTCTTTTATGAATGAGCTAATTTCTTTTGACATGATTCACAAATAATCAAAGATATATTAGTTTCTAGTTCTGAATCTATTATTATCTATAGTTAGTTACGGAGATATATAAGGTATAACAATATTCATACAGTTAATAGGATTTAAGCAATAAGTTATAAGATTAGAATTTTAGACATTTATAAAATACAGTTATTTTTCATACAGGTAAGATCGAACCAGCAATAATTAGTTTTTTAATATTTATATATATTTTAGCTGCTTAAGTATTTGTCTTACACCGAAACGATGGACCGTTCGTTACTATCTACTAGGTATATCTACTAAAAGCTTATAAAAGGAGAGACAATATAAATACTTTTTATCAACGATATTGTACAAGGAATAGGTTCAAAATTTAATGGAAAAATTATTCTGAAATTAAACAGATTAAAAAGTAAATCTACCCTGAAATTTCCACCACAAATAGGGGAAGAAGATCAAGATGATCCTCTTCCTTTTACATCTCCATCATATTGAAGAACTTGTACAAAAGATACGTGTATGACAAGTGAACTAACAAATCCCATGTGCTACAAGGAGCCTACAATTTAACCGCAGAATTCGGAGTTAGTTAATTAAATAATAATAAAAACATTACTCTGATTCAATCCGATTTGTCTAAAGTATCTCGTTATCACTGTGATCAAAGATACTGAACTAAAAGTTTATAGAGGAGATATAGAAACTGAATGTGTTCACTTGGATGCGCATGTCTAACACGAGTAGGTGTTATGTCGCTCTCAACCTCGACGCATTGCCTGTATAGTTCTCATTGTAGAATCAATTTTTTTAGGAATTTAATACATTTTTTAGCTATTTCATAATATTATCGAAATAATGATGAGGGAAAATATAAAACCTGTATGTCAATATAAATAAACTAATAATACTATAAATAAATATAACCTGATATTATATTCCTACTATTATAAATTTGAGTTTGTAAAGGTATTTAGACACTTGTAAGTCGATCACGCTTGAATATCTGAATAGATTTGAATGACATTTGGTTCTCAAATATGCCATGTCCTAGATTTACCATATTACCATGGAATATTTTTACACTTTTTGGGTCACAGCAAGTAGTAAATATAACTGAAGGAATGATAAAATCAGATCGGTTAACGTATTGTAACGAAATCACTAGGAAATAACCACGATGATTATCAGGGAACCTTTTGTCAGAGAAATACAATGGGATATATTGCTGGCAATGTTACTGAGTAAGTAGAGTCACCAGATATCATTATGGTCTGTTTCAACAGAACATTCAACAGAAATAAAACTTTCACAGAAACACTCTGTAAATGAAATTAATAATAAATCGAAACATTCGATCAATTAATCAATCTTTTATTTGTACGAATATTGGACATCAGCGCAAACTGTCTTATGGTCTAATTAATTGTTCGTTTATTTTTATTTTCATTAAGTTCTATTTAATAAAACTTATACTAACAAGATCCTAATGACCAACTGCATAAGCTTATTGAGATAATACTTATTAGATTTATGTACATATATGTCTCATACAACAGATGCAAGAGAGATGAACTTTCTTCGCATACCAAGGATTGCGTGTGCCATCCGTGCTACGGCAGTGGTTCCGTTGCAGTCCACTTCGCACGCGGCTTCCACTCGCACAACTAATCAGGCCCGCAACAGATTTATAATATTTATATATGATTATGCCCATTTTATATCCAGAAAATAAATTGTCAAAAATATACCCGCTACCCTTGTACAGATAATAATTTAACTAATTGGTATTATAATAACATAGATTAAATTCTTTATGCATCTAGGTTACTAACCCGGTTGAAAATATCGATGTCGTATCAGGGACCAGAAGATGCGTGCGCAATCCTTTCGCACACTACTTACTTAGTGAAGCTATATGAGAACACAAGATAATTATGTGAGTACTATCACAATAACAAGAAATATTTTTATGCTTTTAATACTTTAGTAAATGACATATAAATTTTGTTACTATGAGTACGTGTTTGAACGAAGTTATTACCTGTCTATTGTAATTCGCCCTATTCAAAGACCTTTTATACATTGTGATATTCTCTTTAAATCACATCATAAACTATCTGCTAATATCTGATTCTTCAATATATTGTCACATTATATGTAATAAAATAAGAAATGTAATAGATATTAATATTACGGTTTCCTTAGATAACTTTAATATGAAATACCTCATTTTAAATATCAAGTATATATTATAACTTATATAATAGAACTTTATGGAAACTTATTGAATTATACGATCGATATTTTCAGTCATGTTCACTAGTAAGGTGTTACGGTTACGCTTACGATGTTTACTAGTGTTAATGCAAAAAGTGCATCAGTACCGAATATAACAATTAATATTAGATACTTGGAAAATTTTACGTTATAATAGCATAATTGTTATTCATACAAAGTCGACAGATGGCATGTGTAAATATTTTTTACCATGACAAATACAAATATACTACAAGCCACACATGAAAACTACACATTGTACTCAAAATAATGTTTTGATCAAATTAACAGATTGTTGAAGATTCTTTTAAATGTAGCTATAGCTTTAGACCTAATTCGTGCTTAGGCTAGGGTTTAATTGGAATTACATTGATAATTTTGGTTTATTTCTTATAATTAATATTATTTTTATGGAAAGCCAAAATAACGTTATAATGGTCATAGATCTATGTATGAACCACATGAACACGTGGATTTAAAACGAGAGGCCCGCAGAGGCGAGCTGGTCATTGGCACGCAGTTGCGAGGTCTTCGCCCTACGCCATCTCGTGGCAGTAACTGACCTAAGACTAGGCGCACCTTCGCCGCTGTCGATGGTCGCACTGCACCTGGCGACCGACCCGAAGCTCGTTTTTGTGCTAGCTATCTGTCGGTGGCAGTTTATTTTAATCGTGCGCGCGCAGATGGCGCGAGCGCAGGGGTCGCACGTTCACCATATGGGGAACGATTGTGCACCCTAATGAAAGATGAACAGGGTGTAAGACTGGTCTGTTCACCAAGTCTGTGTTGTAAACAAACCGGGTGAGGGCAATGGCTGCCTGCCACTCCCCGGTCCCCGCGCTCTACCGCGCCGACGACGCCATTCAACCGGGAAGTTCACGCTTTATTTTTAGCGTTCCACGAAACGGGCAATGCTGATAATATAACGGCGTTTGCCGGGCCATCTTGTAAAACATTTAGTATATGAATTGCTCATCAGCACCTACTATTGTCGCATTTCGAAGGACCTATACAAGAATCACAACATTTCTCATATATCCACAAAAATCCAATTCAATAAATATAGTCACTCATAAAGTCCGCAACTTCTTTAACAATACCAAATTGATTTGAGAGTAAACCTAGCACAATTACATTCGTATAATAAAATAAAAAATAAGTTATTAAACCAAGTACAATATATATCTACGGAGAAGAAAATAAAAATGCATCCACTAAACTGGATAAGAAATAATCTAAAAATGCCGCTATCGTAAGGCGTATAAGCAAACGGCATCGCTCTGCCGACGGGAAATAAAACGTTGAGTCGGCTATTTATAAAACCGGTCTCGCGAAAATAAAAGATTGTGTCTTCACTGTTCCTGCCTCCTATAGTAATTTTATTGATGAAGGGTAGTATTCAGGAGGCCAGGTGTAGAAACCGGGGTCAATAGCCGCGATACCACGACAAGTAACTAAGCAATGTCTCCGTTATGGGACGCTACACGTATGCTGTACGATGAGCATTTCCGTCGTCGCTTCACCTAACCACCGGCATTGACATTGGAGTTGCCAAGGCCCTAAGAGCCGCTCTAGGGCCAAGAGCGCGATACCGCTTCTGAGAATTGTTGTCTTCGGCAGCGTCGGCGGCGGCGGTGGGCTGCGAGTCAATGACCTGAGGGCGAGGAAGGCGCGGGAGGGTGCGCGCGCACGCAGCCGCGCCCCGCCTTTATTTATTACGCTACGCGCGGCGCGCTCGGCGCCGGCAATGCGCGGCGGGGCGGAGGCCGCATTCCGGGCGGCCGGCGCCGCGGTCCACCGTGCGCTGCGAAAATAACGCGCACCATACCTTCTAATGGACCAACCGACGTCAGTAATCGAGTCACACTTTAAAATAAACTAACTCAAAACTTACTCATTTTCGAAATTGAAATGTGAGCACGTGCGCCAACCTCGTGCACCATTGTAGAGTCACGGGAACTGCTACAGGCACCAAAGTCACTGTCCATGGTTACAATTGTTCAAACTAAATCGCAGAGATGCGTATCGATTAAGCCAACACGTCTTAGTCTGTATGTAAGTCAACACTGAAGTTCACATGGCGCGCGCGAAGTGTCGAAGCGGAGGAACGGCACGCGCGTCAATTTCGATGGCAGTATGACGCATTAGTGAGCGCGCGGCGCGGCTCTACAAAGTGCGCAAGCAGACGGGGAGATGAAACGGTTGCGGGGAGCTCGCCCCACCTACCCGACAGCTCCGTGCTGCCCTCTGCATTGGGCTCATCGACCGCGCTCGCCCTCACCGCGGCACGGTGCTGCTACCATGCCACTTTCACTGTACCGCAACACGACGCGTTCCCGCCCGCGCCCATCGGGACACTGCCGCCCGCACTCATCATCCATGCCCACAAACACAAAAATGATATATTACTGTTTTCTCGATGACAGGTGACCAATCAGACAATTCTGGAAGTCGAATAACATGAAATTAAAAATATTAGCTACTGTAGCAACTTTGATCACAAGGAAGAGTCCTTATTAAAAAAAAATTGTATCTGGACAATAAACTACTTAAAACGTTCACCTAGAATGACAGCTATGATGCTCGTTGAACTTAATGAACATTCATTTATAAGTAGTTGTTAGACCTACTAGTGCAAAAATGTGCAGTAGGTATTTTTTATGGGATGATAATGAAATGATAACCCTACTAACAGGTAATTGCGCTATCGGTATATGCAGGAAAGGACGCTGACACCAGGAAGGGATGACATATGAGCATGATAGTAGGTCAGTAAGAACATCATGACAAATTTAACAAGAGGGATCGAGTTCGATCTGACAGGGTAGCGATAGAGCCGTAGATCCCATTACTAACAATCCCTTTTCACTCAATTCTACAATATTTGCTCATTTGTCCATGCACCGGCCAGCGATCTACCACTTTAATGCATTCCAAAAATGAATAATTTATTATTTTAATGAATGGAGAACATTATTATAGACTAGGTTAAAAAAAATATGTCAAAATAAATGTTATTTTTATCGTATAGTTCCAATTACGGGAGAACTAAATTGCATGACCGCGTTGACGCGCCTTGCTTCCATCACAATCGATAGCGCGTCATGATTCACAAACTATCAAAAAAACGCTGAGTCGACCGAGTGCCTCTGGTTCGCTACGACCGTGGTAGCGAATGGCGATACGTAACGGACCGACGTGTCAACAACCACGCGTACGTACGAATCGTGCTTCTCCACATCTACTCTGCCTACTCTCCCACGTAATTGATAGATGAGGAATCAACATGACCGGATATTTCATATGAATGATTGTTATTAAAGTATTTCGACAATAACACTTTTCCAGAAGTAATAAAGGAACGTCAAAAAACTGTTTGAAAGAAACTAATAAAACATAAAAATCTGTAGTAACATTAAATGTGTTTAATAAGACAGTGTTTATAGAACAGGTTAGTAGAGTAATCACATTAATAGATAAATAGGTGCAGGTCATTTAACTCTATATAATGTTATACAAAAATCTAAATTCACAGTGAATTATAAAAAATGATGCCTTATCCACAAACACAATGTTTCCTAGATTAAGCACTGTGGAGTTTTTCAACGGCATTCAATGAACTAGTTTTTTTTTTCACTCACTGACGCTTGAGTAAGTACGGCCCCGAATAAGAAATGAAACGCACGATTGTGGCCTCTCTAACGGGTAGTCATTTGGAGCAGATTGCCGGTGCACTAGGATCCGTACGAAATCAAAAGTGCACAGGTGACTACCTACCTTTTTTATTTTCATTTTGCCGGAACGCCAATAACGAGGGCGTCGATCATGATGATGCAATGCTATTGTCTATTTGCCAATGGAAGCAAAGAAAGTATTGTGGCTGTTTTCAGGTTTTAATTAGACAAATTAGTGTCCAAACTATTTATTATTTGATTGTCTCAACAAAGAATGTTACAAAGTTAAGCGAGTTAGTTAAGTAAACTAGTAACTATTAAATGACAACACTATCAGATGATGGTGTGTTGTCATTTGATATTATCCATTACACCATCATCTTTCTGTCCTTATTCCAAATTATTTAGAGCCGGTGTAGGTAATACAGTTTTATCTACCATTCTCTGTTTGTAGTCATTTCAGTATTCATTCCCTCTCTATACAAATCATTTTTATATACTCCAACTGTCAAATGACTAATATACAAGAAAAGTATATTAAATTAAATTGTTATAATTAGAATTACAGGGTATCTAAAACATCTACTTCGAGACAATAATTCTTTTCAGAATATTAAACTAGAATAAATTCTACTATAACATAATAAGTAAAATAATCTATAAATAATAATTGTCATTATAAAAGTTTCACGTTTTATAATGTTAGTAGCTTTATCTATAGATTGAAACTCTACAAAGCCTAAGACAATTTGAACAATAAACCTTTCACGCTACATTACAAAGAAACTTTACAAAGTTTTTTTTAGATTTACGCAACTTATTAGATATACCTGATAAAAAAATAACGTATAGCTAAATAAATTATGTATGGTTACTATACACCACAGACTAATTAAATTTTATAAAAAAAAAACTTATAAATATTAATTTTACATTTTTAATAGACTAAATTAAGATGTCGTCACTCGTAAACAAATAATTATTATCTGACTTTCAAAATTAAGTGATTTTTGCGCTGAAGAATCTTCAAACCTCAAATCATGTAAAGTTGCAATCAATTCTACACCTGAATTGTAATTTTTGTAATATAAACCGATCAACAATTGCAAGTGGTATGCGAATACCTGATTGTTATGAGCATGATTTCGATGTCGTTTAAGTACACATGTTATTTTACATCCTGCAGTGTAATCCTAAATGGCATACAAGCTGCCATATACTAATGTAACTGCAAACTATTCTATTATTATTATTCTGCGCCTTTCTACGTTAAACACACATTTGATACAAACATGATTCGCGTAAGTATATTGACAGTTCAAAAATTATTCAAAATTTGTAAAATTCTAGTCACGAATAAAGATTATCACTGTCGGAGTACCCTTAAAAAATTATTAAATTTATTAAATTTTCTATAATATTAACATTCCTTAATGTCTCTCCGTAGTCTGAAAAGCGAGACATAAAGACAGAATACATCGCCCACGCTAGGTCCACAGAAATAGACTCGCGCGCACCGCCCGTGACTCAGCGCAGACAATGGGCCTGGCGTCCCCGCCTGTGACAGCTTTCGCCAATACCCACACGTCACTGCAAGTATTTAGCAAGTTTCAAAGACGCGAAATATTACTTCATTCTACTATCGCATATCTATATAGCATGATAAAGTAGATGCTTACCTGACTGAGGTCATGAGTGTCGAATGAGAGATCAGAACTGGCCGTTAAACTTAGCCCGCATTAGTGCCAACTACAAATATTTTTATCACTATTGAGTCTATAACAACTATTCTAAAATAATGTATTATCGCTGTACACAGAAAATCACTATCTTTGAATTATGTAATTTAAAAAAAAATAAAAAGTATTGAAATCCAGTTAATTACCAAAACAAAAAACTTTTATTCTTGATTTAATAATCAACTAATTAAAACTTATAAGTTTTATTGAACAGAATTTCATTTCTTTACTTACTTAAAATGCATATTGCCTATCATTACACAACGGTAATAACAAATTATTTAGTATTATAACAGTTTAGATAATTAAAACATCAATGTTGTAATTCATCATCATCATCATATCAGCCGTTATCTGTTCACTGCCGAACAAAGGCCTCCTCCATTAACTAAAAAAGTAATAACTAATTATTTAATATTATAACAGTTTAGATAATATAAATTTGTTTTAATTTATCTTCATCATATCAGCCCTTATCTGTCCACTATCGAATATAGGGCTCCATATAGGACAGTCTATGACTGCCATAGGGTATTTTCTATTCAGGACTATTATCCTGAACCACCTGCAACTAATGACACTCTGCAATGCATTTCAAGTCGTCACACCATCTAGTAGGAGATGGTCCTGTATTTGCCCGTACGAGGTCGCCAATCAAGAACTTTTCTTCCTCATTGGTTGTCAGTTCTTTGAACAATGTGACCATTGCCACTTCTACTTTCTTATCATTCGGGCTATGTCAGTCACTTTGGTTCTTTTGCGGATATTCTTATTTCGGATTCTGTCATGCAAGGAAACTCCGAGCACAACCCTCTCCATAGCTCGCTGATTAACTTGAGGCTTTTCCATATGAACAACCGTGTAGGGCCATGTTTCGGTTCCATAGATCATCACTAGCAACACATACTGGTTAAAGACCTTCGTCTTCAAACTATGAAGCATCTTAGATAAGAAGATGTGGCATGGTTTTTCAGACGCTGTCCAAGCCGAGTTGTAATCATAGATTGACCTCTCGCTTTTGTTTTAATTATTATTATTTAATAATATATTTTAAAACCAGCACCTAACAGAGCAATAATTTTTGAGTCTATAAAAAGGCGCTATGGCATGGACATTGGATAAACAAAGACCGGTCTCACTCTGCACATACTACACATTTATATGGTAATATTAAGACAATCTAACTTAAGATTCCCGAAAGTTTGTCACTTCCATAAGATAATCTAAACTAGCTCGAACGTCCACTTCATAAAGCCGATTCTCCAAAAAGAAGCCGAGGTAATATCGTTTCAAAATAAACTGGTATATCGTTAAAAAGAGTTCAACAAACTCTGTTAAAAAAAAGTTAAGAAAAATTCGATCAGGATTCTGTGAGGCCAATCACGTTTCGAACGGTATTGTAATGATGACGTTTGTATACCTGTACCGTGGTCATAAATCCTGAAAGTCGACTCATATCTGCAATCAATTTTAACATGGCGTAGTCAGACGCTATTTCAGTTCACGAAGTTCGGTTACTCAAATATTTTTCGAATGAAGTGCTTGGCAAACATGACCGGTGGCACATACTAATGCAATGCTAATCATTACGCCGGACACATATTAATTTAAGTACGGCACTTTTGCAAAGTAACCGCACGACACAGGCCTCCAATCAGTAACGGTCTAGATTTTCATGGAAAGGAAGCCAACGTAGCGGGTTTGCATGCCCCTCGGCATTGTGATGTGCAAACTAAAACAACGTTGAAGCATCCATTATCTAAAGGCATATAAAAAATTGAAAAAAAAAAACATGTAATGAGATATAGAAGCAAAAATTATCTATATATGTTAAAATTTATAAGTACTTATAAATAAGTAAATGGAATCAACAAGTTAATAACGCTACAGTATAAATGCGGCCAAGAAGTTACGGGAACGGGCCTGTGAATATTTTTGCACCGA